TATACGGAGTGTTTACGTAACGTAAACTACGACGTACGGTATCGGTTAGTGGATAACGCTAACGTTATTTTATAACGTACGCCAAATTGAACTGTACACATTTTACGTTACGCAAAAACTGCCTATTATCTTTAAAGCCGCATGCTAATAGTAATGGGAATCCGAAAAAATCCAGATTTAATAAGAAAAACGCTATTGATGTCACTTAAAAATCATATACGTATTAAATATTAATTATTATTACAATAATATTAAGCTGTGTAGTTAAGTAAAATGTTCTAATGAAAATTAAAAAAAGAAAGCGTAATTTTGACTATATTATAATTTCAACAAATCCGAAATCCAAAAACAATTTATCTTTTTGGTGTTGTTTTATTTTAAAATTTCCATTAAAAATATTTTACTTAACTACACAGCTTTATTTTGTAATAATATTTAATATTTATAAGATTTTTATATGGTTAACATTGCGTTTTTTTTATGAAAATCCGGATTTTTGGATTTTTATCACTATAGCTATAGCATAACTACGCTATAGCGGATAGCCTATATGGCAAAGGCCAAAGCGTATACGTTTTGATGCGCATGAAGTATTTTTATAGTACAATTTTTTTTTGTAGTTACCACTTGGAGTTAATTTTTAAATAAACAATAATGGAATGGATTAAATTACTTTATTTTGGTGACAGCAATGTTAATGCTTGAGAACTTTTTTGCCTGAGGTTTTCAAGCAGCAAAGTTTAGATATTGACCTATTATAATAGCCTAAATTAAATTTTTGTTGAAAAAAACATTTAAGTTTTCAGACGTGAATCCAGCCTTTATTAATGGGAGGGGAGAATTAAAAAAAAGTATTTATATGTTTGTATAACAGTATGTATAGTAAGTACTTAAGGGACGCCACTCCCCCCCCCCCACAGATCCGCGGCTCAATAACAATTTTTGGCAAAAATAACCAACTACATACTTATAGGTAGGTACACCAACCTTACAGAAGTTTTCAATTTTTATAAATTATAACACCTATATTATAATTAATAAATATATTCATAAAACTACCTTATATCTAACCTTCAGTTTATGACTTCTAAAATTACACCCCAATCCCCATGGTTTTCGAAACCCTCATATCTTTGTGGAGGAGAGGGTTAACATAAGATAAATATGATGACTATAGTTAGATACCGGTAACGGGTTATACGTTCTCACAAATGTTTCACTGTCTTCACAAAGTTATGGAATGCCAATGTTACAAAATAAAAGTAATTACATTTTGAGGGAGAAAATGAATCCGTTCTAGCGGATCTAAAGATATTGTGTAAATGGGAAAAAAATATAAAATTGAATCAAACTAGAATACTGCTTGTATCATAGACAGTATGTCAATGCCTTAAACTAATAAAAACATCATTCTGTGGTAGCTGTGAGATTACTCAGTTTGTTATGTATTAGAAAAATAACAAATGAGCTCCAGGTAGGTAGCTTAAAATAATTTTGTTACCCTGTCTAAAATATTGCTTGATTTAAACGACCCCTTTGAAGGTTCGATAAAAGAATAACGATCCCTATACATGCTTTATTATCCTATTCATATAGGGTGCCTCTTTATTTTTTTTTTAAAACTAGCTGCATTCATAGTTGTAACTTGTTACTAAAACGTTAAAAATATATACGCATCATAAACCACAAACCAGCAACGACTTTTGTTCGAGACCAAATCCAGTTTTATTACAATTTTTCCCAATCATTTACGAACGTTAAAATTAAAAAAATTCTGAGTTTTACTTTTTATAAGAAACGAAATGTTAATAATCTTGTCTATAGTTACGACTTAATACTTAAAAACACAACTATAAATAAAATTAGTATGTTTCCATATTCTATTAGTAGCGGATATTGAAAAATATATAAATATTTAATTTCAGCGGTCCTAAAATTATCAGTATTCAGCCTAAAGAACAGTATGTATTATTTTTACCTAGTTTGCCCTGGCTAATACCTATGCCTACTATAATAATAAAATGTTTATAAATTATATACATTTTTTTTACAAATCTATTTATGAAGATAAATGTGTATTTATTTATCTAAAGATTATTTGCATGTATATAGTAATTTAATTGAACAGTTTTAGCTTCGATACGTAACTGAAAAGGTATTGTTTTACCAATGATGTGTTTTTATTTTTATTTTGTATCTGAACCCACAATATATTGTAAACCGCTGAACCAATTAATTCGTGTACTAACTGTACAGACCAAAAATCGTACCTGAAAGGTACTTTACTTGGCTAAACAAAAAGTTCACCTCTTCCCTTTTAAAAGTAATAAAAACAGCCAAAAAATGTACATATTTTTCAACTTTAATTAGCGGCGCTCTATAACTTATAACCTATAACTATAGCTTAAAAATTAGTCGAATTAGATCCAAATTTGTATGGAATATTTTAGCTTCGATGCAAAGCGAGAAGGTATTGATTTTACTCTGATGTGGGCTTTTTTTTTAGCTGTACGCACTGTAACTTTTTTAATACTAGACCAATTCCTTCGAGTAGCAACTATATATATCACAAATTTTATCTAGTTGGTACTTTGGGGGGGGGTAAAAGTTGAAAAAGTTTAAGTCTTCACAGACGAAAGTTGAAAAAACAAAAAAAAAACCGTACGAGTTTTTAAGTTAGAACTTTTACTGGCTATAATTTCGAGAAAAAGAGTCGGATCGAGTTGAAATGTATAGGAAATAATTATTTTGTATGCCCGCACACGTCAGTTGTGTCAAATTTAAACTATACCCATTTCCCACCCCCCTAGGGGGGGTACAAGTATTTTTGTTTTTTGGGGTTTTTAGCCGTAATTTTAAAACTTTTGGGTTGAAAATTTGCCAGTAGTTGGAACTCATATGTATCCATAACATATTAAACGGGAAAAAAATTCGGCACTACAGTTTTTTTTTAATTGCCGAGAAACTGTGTTTTCGCAGATTTCGTATATTTTAACAAAAACATCTAAAATCTTTAAAAAAATCATTAATCATTAAAACAATTTTATGTACATCTATGCAGAATGATACTATTAAGTTTTGTGCTCAAGTACCACTTTTGACTTTAAGTTTACACAAATTTAATTTATTTTTTTTTACTTAAAATCTTTCTGTGTGTGATTGCTCTAATGGAAGTATATAATACATAAATATTAATTTTATTGAGAATAAGCCATTATAATTTAAACTATGGAGTACAAACGATTAAACATGAATCGTCGACCATTCCAACAAAATATAAGAAGACATTGTATAAGTGTTAGTTGGTCCACTACGTTTTTGCAAAAAAAAACCAGTACAGTGGGGTCGGGGCATAGTGGGGACGGAGCATAGTTGGGACGGGGAGGTCACAGGTTTACAGGAATTTTTAAATCTGAAAGTGATAAAATCACTTTCGAAAAAACGCTTCGATGCAAATCGGTAGTTAGTATTTTCAAGCCAATACAGTCCAAACCAAGCACAGTATAAGCCAGCAAAGTTAGAAAGTTTTAAATTAAGGTTCTGTATTTACAAATGAGCATCAAAGCATTAATTTGAAAGTGATTCTATTCAATTTTATCACTTTTATTTATAATAATTCCTGTAGACCTGTGACCTCACCGTTTCCTCATTGCTTTGATTACATTATGCCTATACTCTACTGTACTAGTCCTCTCGGATAAAATCACTTTCAAATTAACGCTTTGATGCTCATTTGTAAATACAGAACCTTAATTTAAAACTTTCTAACTTTGCTGGTTTATACTGTGCTTGGTTTGGACTGTATTGGCTTGAAAATACTAACTACCGATTTGCATCGAAGCGTTTTTTCGAAAGTGATTTTATCACTTTCAGATTTAAAAATTCCTGTAAACCTGTGACCTCCCCGTCCCAACTATGCTCCGTCCCCACTATGCCCCGACTCCACTGTACTGGTTTTTTTTTAGACATAGTACTACCGAAAAACGTTGACAAACTATACAAATATCGTAAACCCTTACTCCTAAATAGTAGGTGAGTTATTCTTTATTTCGCTTTTTTAGGTGAAGTTTTAGGACTTAAGGTCTGAAAATTAGACCGAAGGTAGCTCTAAAATAGGACTTTTTTTTTATTAATGCCTTATGGAAAACCCAAAAAGAAAGGGAAAAATTACAAATTGGCTGTAGTCAATTTCTAGGTTACTATGTGAGTGAATCAACAGCCAGAAAAATATTTTCAATATATTGTTATTTACGATTTATAGGCAACAACGATATAAAGGCAACAAATTCGGTTCAAAAAATATCCACCCTAATGCTAAAAATACAAATTTAAGCACATTATTGACAATGATTATCTACAGATACGCATCGTTTTTTTGAAAGTGACTTTTTCATTAAGTTTATAAAATCCCTAAAGACCTGTGACCTCTCCCGCTCCAATATGTACCTACCCCGCTGTACTGGTTTTTGATGCTATATTGACACGTAAAAATAGCAACACACAATAGTCAATGTACAATCATTATTCTTTGGCCGCTCCAAAAAATTGAATTCTTATTCTACGAGTTTTTAAATTAATGTCGTTCTAAACTTACGGTGATTAGTAAACTAAACTATTGAGTATTGCTTATATTATGTTGCATATAATGGTTACGGTTGTCGCCAGTTCGCTATAGCCGTATAGCCTGTATTATAACATTAGAAATTCCACGTGCGTAAAAGTGTTGAGGTTTCATGCGACAATACTGAATAGTGAATACACATAGTAATTATAATTATTATATACAATCATTATACAGAGTTCTGCTAGATACATACTATTATTATTATTATTATTATTTATTGGCTTTAGTCTTGTATAGTTGTATGGGTACCTATACTTAGTACATAGTAATACCGGGCCTCGGTGATTATGGTGTTTGTTGGCGGCACTGGTCTCTGTTGAATTTATTGCGCGCTTTGCCATTTACTGATGAATAATCAGTGCGGTCATTTGACAAATTATCGTTGATACGTGAGTGTCGACTGTCAGAGAAAAGTGCTATCTTGTCATTCAAATAATTGTGCTCAGTGTTGTTCAAATTTGCTTACTTCGTTTGAAAATCGTGTACCATGTTATGACGTTGCTCGTATCGTAATCGTTCAAAGTCAGAAACTTTACAACCCTAGCCCGAGTGCCTAAAAAACTAAAACCAAAATTCCAACATTTGGTTTTTCCCTTCTTATCAGCATGTGAAAACCGGCCCTTTTTTATTTAGCAACTCACCATTCAGGTTATTTACAGGTAATTTTGTCTATTGTTATAAAAAATGTAAAAAAAAAAAAAAAAAAACAAAAAAAACATTAAACGTATTTGATATTTATTTACAATGTTCAATTTTTAGCAAAAATGACGGAGTCGCTAGATAGTGGAACTGTCAACACAATGCCGTCGATGGATGAAAATGCACCCAACTCATTATCTGTGATGGATGAGTCGGTGTTCATTGACTACCTGAAAAAAACTGTGTCTACTATATTACATGGTGACAAAGCGGCTACAGCAGAGGCGTTGGATTTGGCATTTGACGAACCTAACAATGTTGAATGTATTAAGAAGTTCATATCGGATTCCAATACCTCAACAATTTTTGTTCAGAAAAGTGCCCTTAAAGGTACTACTTTAAAATATTATACATAAATTATGTATTAACGATTGATTTCCAATGTTTTAGATGAGGAAACAGAAAATGGCACAGAAGGAGATGAAGATAAAGAACCTCCCTTATTCTATTTATCTAATGAAGTTATATTTACCAATCAAAAAATGACTAGGTATGTATTAGTAAATTTGCTACTAAATTGATTTTAAACAATAGCACTGTGCTTTTTTTATAGCTTATCTTTTATGAAGAGAGGAACTGTATTAGAAGCTGATAAGCCAATTCCAAGTCAAGTACGAATTGTTCAGTTTAATGATGGTTCACCCTATGAGACATTACATGCGTTAGTTAGTAAAGCTATAACACCATATTTTAAAAGTTATGTGAAAGAATCGGGAAGAGCTGACAGGTATTAATTATTTACTTAAATTTTAATTAGGTTAAAACTTTTTTATTTTATTTTTCTTTAATTTTTTTTTTTTAGGGATGGTGATAAAATGGCTCCTTCTGTTGAAAAGACTATGGTTGAGCTAGAAATGGGGTTGCTTCATTTACAACAAAATATTGATATTCCTGAAGTCACGTTGACCATAAATCCTACCATATTAGCAATGGTTAGCAAATGTGCAGAAGAAAATCGTAAGCCTAAGGTTTCTGATTTTGGAGCATTAGTAGAAGACTCAAAATTCTTAAACCAACTTCAAGCTGGTGTTAATCGTTGGATTAAAGAAATACAGAAAGTAATATATAAACAATTTTCAGGTATAAATAGAAAAAAAATATTATCAGTTATGTATTTTAGGTGACCAATTTGGATAGGGATCCATTAAATGGAACAGCTTTGCAAGAAATAAGTTTTTGGTTAAACAAAGAAAGAGCACTACATCGTATACAAGAAAAGCGTGAAAGCTTAGAAGTTGGACTCACGTTAGAGATTTTAAAACATGGAAAGCGTTTTCATGCCACAGTTAGTTTCGACAGTGATACTGGCTTGAAGACGGCTTTAGCAACTGTTAATGATTATAACACTTTGATGAAAGATTTTCCTATTAATGATCTGTTAGCAGCCACTGATCTAGATAGGATCCGTGTTGCTATTGAACATATTTTTATACATTTACGTAAAATTCGTAGCACAAAATATCCATTACCTAAATTATTAAAATTAGTCGAAGCAATTTCCAGGGATTTATTGTCAAAATTATTAAAAGTAAGATTGTTTATATTTTTATAATAATATATTAATTAATGACAACAATATTTAATTTTAGGTTTTGGGTACAAGATTTTTAATGCATATACCGTTTGATGAATTTGAAAAAGTAATGTTGCAGTGTTTTAATGTTTTCACGGCATACGATGATGAATTTGATAAACTTCAAGTTATTTTGAGGTATTTCAAAATTTGACGTTTAACATTTGTAATAAATTACTAATTTTATTGTGTATTTCAGAGATGTTGTCAAGCGGAAACGCGATGAAACATTTAAAGTAGTTTGGAGAATACAACCAGATCATAAACGATTACAAACTAGACTTGAACACATGAGAAAGTTTAGACAACAACACGAACAATTACAAGCTGTTATAATGAGGGTACTACGGCCAACTGCTCAACAATCGCAAATACGGGAAGATCAAGATCAAGGTCCTGTTTCTTTATCACCTGCCCCAGATACTAGTGCTATTGAGGTATGTAAATAAATATTTAAGAATGTAGAGTTTATAATTGAGTAACATATTGTTTAAATATTAGAAGTTAAAGAATGTTATTAATAATTTAATTGTAATATTGCTGATTGGCGAAGAATATTTTATAGTATAGATATTTTTATGTTTGCATAGGAAGTAAATTCCGCTTATGAAAATATTAAAGTGGTTGACTGTCTAGACATTAGTCGTGAAGGAGTTGAAGCATGGGAAGCTGCAGTTGCCCGTTACGAAGAACGTATTGACAGAGTCGAAGCTAGAATTACTGCACATCTTAGAGATCAGTTAGGAACGGCTCGTAATGCTAATGAGATGTTTCGTATATTTTCTCGATTCAACGCTTTGTTTGTGCGCCCTCACATTCGTGGAGCAATACGGGAATATCAAACGCAACTCATCAATAAAGTCAAAGAAGATATTGAAGCTCTCCATGATAAATTCAAGGTAAAATGTTCAATTTTGATATTTAATAGTAGAGCTCATGGTCACTTAATTGAATTTCTTCTATGAGTACACAAATTTCTTATGTATTTTTGAAAAAGAATGTACGAATAATGTATACAAGGATATTCACAAACTTGTGCGAATTTTATGAACTACTAATTTGCATTAAATTCACAAACTACTTGAGTACACTTACGATTCGGACATTTGGTTTTGTAGTATGTTTTGTGTACATGTGAAAAAATGACACTCTATTTAATAGTAATGTGTTTTTAAAAAAAAATTATATTTTAGACCCAGTACCCACAAAGCAAAGCCTACTTTTTGAGTCACCAGCAAGATATACCACCAGTAGCCGGATCTATTCTATGGGCAAAACTCATTGACAGCCAACTTTCAGCATATTTGCGACGAGTTGAGGATGTTTTAGGTATGTAGATAAAAAATAAAAAAATAAATTTAAAATGATTTGTACTTGTGAAAAGGTCAACATATACCATTATCAATATCATTATTACGTAGGTACTACGTAATAGTTTAAAAATGTAAGTGAAATAAATAAAGATGTGCTTTTATTTAACAAAGTATAAATATATTTATTTTTATTTAGTTAAAATTTAATTGTGAAAACTATTAATTAATAGTGTTAATTTTTTTTGTGTCTATGAAATTTAGGTAAAGGTTGGGAAGATCATTTGGAAGGTCAGAAATTAAAAGCCGATGGAGATAGCTTTCGGTTAAAATTGAACACTAGAGATATTTTTGATGATTGGGCACGGGGTGTTCAACAAAGGAACATGGGTGTATCTGGTAGAATATTCACTATTGAGAGTACAAGATCAAGAACTGGTAGAGGAAATGTGTTGAAGCTAAGGGTAAATTGAAAAAAAAATTTTATTTTACTTTAAAGTTATTTGCATAACTGTTTTTATCTATGTCATTTTATTTTTGTATATTAGGTAAACTTTTTACCAGAAATAATTACACTTTCAAAAGAAGTAAGGCACCTAAAAAATCTAGGATTCCGTGTGCCATTAGCTATTGTAAACAAAGCTCATCAAGCCAACCAACTGTATCCATTTGCTATTTCTCTGAGAGAAAGTGTTCGCACTTATGAATGTACTTTAGATAAAGTAAGTTTTTATTATTATTTTTTTTTAAATATTATTATTAAAATATTTGTATATATGGTTTTTAAATTAGCTTATCAATAGGAATTCTTACCTTAAGGTAGTGTTTGATTTGAATGTCATGTTTGACTGTAAATCTTAAAAAAAACCTTTACTTTTACAGACTGAAGATAAGACCAGTATTGTACCTTTGATAGCTGGTTTACACAAAGATACCCAAGCACTTATTGCAGAAGGTATTCAAATGGTTTGGGAGAGTTACAAATTAGACCAGTATGTACAAAAGTATGCTGAACAAATTCTTGCTTTTCAAGAAAAAGTTGAAGACCTACTAGTAGTTGAAGAGCAACTTGATTTAGATGTCAAATCATTAGAAACATGTGCTTATTCTGCAAGTACTTTGGCAGATATTCTATCCAAAATTCAAAGAGCTGTAGACGATCTCTCATTACGACAATATTCAAATTTACACATTTGGGTTACTCGCCTTGACCAACAGGTAGGATTTAAATTAAAACTAGTTTACTGTTAATTTTATATTTAATTATGTTATTTGATAAATTAAAGATTGAGAAAAGTTTATCGGCAAGGCTGCAAGCTGGTATTCAGGCATGGACTGAAGCTTTAGAGGGAAAAAAGAAAGATTTGAGTATGGACACAGACGCACCACCTCAACCAACCAACAAACTGGGCGGTGACCCTCAAATCAAAGTTCAGATACTTGAAGTCCGAATAACAAATCAAACTATTTATTTATATCCTAATTTATGTGAAGCACGTGTTCAACTTATGCAACAGTTCTTTGCCTGGCAAGCAGTAGTAACATCTCAAGTTAGGTTACAAAGTTCTAGATACCAAGTCGGTTTAGACCAACCAACGTCACAAACCTATCAAGACCTTTTGGCTAATTTACCATCCGGCGAAGCTGCTTTAACAGCGGCATTTGATGCAATGGAAAAAAAGATAAACGAAGTAGGTTTTATTTAAATATTTTAATTAAAAAATAGTGTAAACATAATGAATACTTAAATATAACTGTATAGGCTGAAAAATACATGTCCGAGTGGTTAATTTACCAGTCATTGTGGGATTTACAAGCAGACAATTTGTATAGTCAAATGGGAGAAGATATCAATATTTGGATGACATATTTAAATGATATTCAGTAAGATTACAATTATTTTTGTTTATAACTCACATATATTAATTTTATATATTATAGGAAATCTCGTAAAACATTTGACACTACTGAGACTCGAAAAGATTTGGGGCCGTTCATCATAGAATATGGCAAAGTTCAAAGTAAAGTAGCTTTAAAATATGATTCTTGGCATAAAGAAATTTTGAACAAGTTTGGAGGTCTACTCGGTAACAGTATGACAGAATTTCATGTCCAAGTTGCTAAAGTGAGTAGTTTCACTTTTGAAAATTGGTTGTAACCAATTTTAACAATTTTTGTAACAATTTGAATTTAAAATTTTTTACAGTCACGAAATGATATGGAAAAACAATCTATTGAAGCAGCAAGTACATCGGATGCTGTATCATTTATTACTTACGTTCAGTCATTAAAACGTAGTATGAAGGCTTGGGAAAAGCAAGTAGATCTTTATAAAAAAGGTCAGAAAATTTTAGAAAGACAGCGTTTCCAATTCCCTAGCAACTGGCTTGATTTAGATAATGTGGAAGGTGAATGGAGTGCATTTAATGAAATCATAAAGCGGAAAGACAAGTCTATACAAACTCAAGTAACATAATTATATATATTGATTTTTTCTGTATTATTTATTTTAATTTAATTTATATTTTAGGTTCAAAGTTTACAAATGAAGATAATTGCTGAAAATAAAGCGGTGGAGACAAGAACTAACGATTTCCTCTTAGAATGGGAGCAGGGTAAACCGGTTTCCGGTAGCACCCAACCTGATGATGCTTTGTCTCAACTACAAGTATTTGAAAATAAATTCACTCGTATTAAGGAAGAACGAGATAACGTAACGAAAGCCAAGGAAGCCCTGGAACTCAAAGACGCAGCTGGTAAATTTGTTATTTTTTATTATACATTATTTCAAGGAAGTGAATTAAGTGTTTAATCAAACATTAATCTTGTGAATAGGAAGTGCATTGTCTAGTGCAGAAGACCGCATGATAGTAGTATTTGAAGAAATGCAAGACTTGAAAGGGGTATGGTCTGAACTATCAAAAATATGGGTACAGATTGATGAGATCAGAGAAAAACCATGGTTATCAGTGCAACCAAGGAAGCTACGTCAGCAATTGGATGGTTTGACTAATCAGTTGAAAGAATTACCTGCTCGATTTAGGCAATATTCATCTTATGAATATGTCAAAAAACTGCTGCAAAGTTACGTGAAGGTGAGTGTAATTAGTTTTAGATTTGTTAGGTTTTTTAATTAAACTACAGATTATGTCAATATTATAAATTTTTTTCATATAATTTGTTGTATGTAATATAAATTTCTTCAGGTGAACATGACCGTGATTGAATTAAAATCTGAAGCATTGAAAGATCGCCATTGGAAGCAGCTGATGCGTAAACTCAGAGTAAACTGGTCTTTTTCAGATGTAACTTTAGGACAAATTTGGGATGTTGATTTGCAAGCCAACGAAGCTGTTGTTAAAGATATCATAATGACTGCTCAAGGAGAAATGGCCTTAGAAGAGTTTCTTAAACAAGTAAATATCAAAAGACGATCTATGTACAGTAATACCAATATATAATAATTTATAAATTATTAAAATTGTATAGTAGAATTATTTTAACTGCACCATTTATTTAAAATGTGTAATTACCACTTTATATTTCATGAAATAGTTGGGTTTTAGATTAATTATTCATTTTAAGTAATTTAATAGACAAAGTATTTTTTTTTTTAGGTTCGGGATACATGGCAATCATATTCATTGGATTTAATAAATTATCAGAATAAGTGCCGTTTGATAAGAGGATGGGATGAACTGTTCAATACTGTTAAAGAACACATCAACTCTGTAGCAGCAATGAAGTTGTCTCCTTACTACAAGGTAATTAGTGGTGTAATACATTTTATGATATAATTAAGATTTTGAGAATTAAATTGGGATTTTTTTTTTTTTTTTTTAAGGAAATTTATTGTTAAAATTGTAAGATAATTTTTGTAAACTTTATAGTTCTTGGTTATTACAATTGTAGTATAAAATACTAAATTTTTTATTAGGTTTTTGAGGAAGAAGCCTTGACTTGGGAAGAAAAATTAAACCGCATCAATACTCTTTTTGATGTTTGGATCGATGTTCAGCGTAGATGGGTTTATTTGGAAGGTATTTTCTCTGGAAGTGCCGATATCAAGACTTTATTGCCTGTGGAAACATCAAGATTTCACAATATAAGGTAAGATAATTAATTTTTTCAGTTTCAAATGTATTATAATCAATAACTTGATTTTTTTTCTTATATTTATCTTTAGTTCGGACTTTTTGGGTCTGATGAAAAAAGTTTCTAAATCAAGAATGGTCATTGATGTATTGAATATTCAAGGAGTCCAACGGTCACTTGAAAGATTGGCAGATTTATTAGGAAAAATACAAAAAGCACTCGGAGAGTATTTAGAAAGAGAAAGAATGTCTTTTCCAAGGTTTTATTTTGTCGGGGATGAAGATCTTTTAGAAATAATCGGAAATAGTAAAAATATCACTAGACTACAAAAACACTTTAAGAAAATGTTTGCTGGAGTAGCCTCTATCATTTTGGATGAGACATCTACTAATATTCTTGGTATAGCATCACGTGAAGGAGAGGAAGTTATCTTTAGTAACCCTATTTCTACAGTGGACCATCCAAAAATTAATGAATGGCTTACTTTGGTTGAAAAAGAAATGCGTTATACTTTGGCGTCACGTTTGAGTGAAGCTGTTACTAATAGTAAACAATTTAAACAAGAAACCATCGATCATGATGCATTTATGAAATGGTGTGATACATATCAAGCACAGATTGTGGTTTTGTCAGCTCAAATATTGTGGAGTGAAGATATTGAAACGGCATTGCATCAAATTCATACTCAATGTGAAAGCGAAAACGGTGCTCCTCCTAAATTAGCACCTTTAGAAAATGTTTTAGCTCAAGTCGAAACATCATTAAACTTTTTAGCAGATTCCGTTTTGCAAGAACAGCCTCCCCTGAGAAGAAAGAAACTTGAATACTTGGTAATTTAATTATTTCAGTTTGTTAGAAGTTTTCTATGCTAATAATTAATTTTGTTTATAGATAAATGAATATGTTCATAAACGTATGATTACTAGAAGATTAATATCAAGAAAAGTCTGTAGCGCTCGTTCTTTTGAATGGTTGTGTGAAATGAGATTTTATTTGGATGTACATCAAACTGATGTTTTAAAACAACTTACTATACAAATGGCTAATGCCAATTTTTACTATGGATTTGAGTATCTCGGTGTACAAGATAGATTAGTACAAACTCCTTTGACTGATCGTTGTTATTTGACTATGACTCAAGCTTTAGAAGCCAGATTAGGAGGATCTCCTTTTGGTTAGTGTCAACTAATTTATAATAAATTATTTTTACGCTTGTTGAGTTTAAAGAATTAGCTTAACTTTTATCTTCGTTAGGTCCTGCTGGAACTGGTAAAACAGAATCTGTTAAAGCTCTGGGTCACCAATTGGGAAGATTTGTTTTGGTATTCAATTGTGATGAAACATTCGACTTCCAAGCTATGGGGAGAATATTTGTTGGTTTGTGTCAAGTCGGAGCTTGGGGTTGTTTTGATGAGTTTAACAGATTGGAAGAGAGAATGTTATCAGCTGTTTCACAACAAATACAAACTATACAAGAAGCACTTAAATCTCAAATGGATTCGAAAAAAACTAGTAAGATTTATTATTTAATTACACTACACCCCTTTCCCTTCAAAATCTAGATTAACAACCAAAAAACTTACATAAATAAGAAGTATGGAATATTCACTAGACATAGAATTATCAGTAAACATTTACAAAACAAAAACATAAATCCTTTTGTCTCAGAAGGGGTGGAAACATTTTCACTTTTTTAAGGTGTAAGTTTTAGGGCTTAAGGTCTAAAAATCGGGTAAAAGGTAGTCATACAGTAGGGCTAAAATGTATAGAATTGTCTAAAAAATCTGTAGTCAATATTTTTAACAAAAACTAAAATAAGGAACGCGACCTTAGTAAATATGTAGTCCCCAGTATGCCCAACCCCACTGTGCTGGCTTTTATTATATTAATATTTTTTAAAACAGATATTACTGTGGAACTTGTTGGGAAACAAGTTCGAGTTTCTACCGACATGGCAATATTTATAACTATGAATCCTGGTTATGCTGGCCGTTCAAATCTACCAGATAACTTAAAAAAATTATTCCGATCATTAGCGATGACGAAGCCTGACCGTCAGCTCATAGCTGAAGTGATGTTGTTCTCACAAGGTTTCCGTACAGCCGAGAAGTTGGCGTGCAAAATCGTGCCCTTCTTCAAGTATTTTATATCAGAAAATGTGATTGAACAATCGTAATGCTTATAGTTAAATTATATTTTTCAGATTATGTGATGAACAACTTTCCAACCAATCTCATTATGACTTTGGATTGCGAGCATTAAAGTCAGTTTTAGTATCAGCTGGTAATGTTAAAAGAGATCGAATTCAACATATAAAAGGAATCAGTGCTACAACAGAAAGGCACAGTTTGAACGAAGCTGAAATTGCAGAGAACTTGCCAGAACAAGAGGTAATAGTGTTGTAAATAACATAAAGAGTAAATTTTTACTCAGGAGGTGTAATTGTTTTAGATATTGATTCAATCTGTCTGTGAAACCATGGTTCCAAAACTTGTAGCTGAGGATATTCCTCTTCTATTTTCATTGCTAAATGATGTATTCCCACAAGTACAGTATAAACGTGCCCAAATGACCGGTAAATATCATACTATCAGAATCTGTGAGTAATACAAATCATGTTATTTATATTTTAATTTTCAGTATTGAAAGAACAAATTAGAAAAGTATGTTCAGAAGAATATTATGTTTGTGGAGAAGATGATGAGCTTGGAGGTCCCTGGATGGAAAAGGTAAAATAAGTTGTTGATAACAAATTATTTTAACTAATATACCCAATATATTTTTAAAAAGGAAGAAATAATGTGCAATGACTTAATCTTTTTTTTTAAATTTTTGTACATGCTCACAAAGGTTTATATGGGGGAGACGTGGATACAAAAGGTATTTTCTAGGTAGAACCTTGTAGTGATTTTGTTTGTAGCATTGAATAGTGATAGATGTGTTTTTTCTGTATTAAGTATTTTTAAATTAATTTAATTTAATTAGTTAAATTAATTTTAACTTTTTTTTGTTTTTTTTTACCAATTATAATTATTTAATGGTAATATAACTTTCGCTTATTTAGGTGTTGCAACTATACCAAATATGTGAATTAAACCACGGTCTAATGATGGTTGGCCCTAGTGGGTCAGGTAAATCTAGTGCTTGGAAAGTGCTATTGAAAGCTTTAGAACGAATGGATGGAATGGAAGGTCAAGCCCACGTAATTGACCCTAAAGCTATATCCAAGGAAGCATTGTACGGTGCATTAGATCCTAATACCAGGGAATGGACTGATGGTTTATTTACTCATATATTAAGGTAACTAATTTACTATTCATTTATTAATTTCAAGTATACATGTTTAACAAGATGTTTTCTTAACTGTTATTAGAAAAATTGTTGATAATGTTCGTGGTGAAATAAATAAGAGACAGTGGATTATCTTTGATGGTGATGTTGATCCAGAGTGGGTTGAAAACTTGAACTCTGTTTTAGATGATAATAAACTGTTAACTTTACCTAATGGAGAACGTCTCTCACTTCCTCCTAACGTCAGGATAATGTTTGAGGTTTGTGTGATGGATTGAGTTTCTAAATAAGCAACGATATGTATAAATGTTTTTTAATTAATTACTAAAATCAATAAATTTTTTAAAACGATTCAAATTTGTAAAAAAAAAAAAAAATTGCCTTCCTCTTTAATTCTGTTATAGATAATATTTTATTTTACATTTATTTGTAGTTTATTCTTATGTTGTAACTTTACATTTATATTACTTTAGGTACAAGATTTGAAGTATGCTACTCTTGCTACTGTATCTCGGTGTGGTATGATATGGTTTAGTGAAGATGTATTGACTACTGAAATGATATTTGAAAATTATTTAATGCGGTTAAAAAGTATACCAATTGATGAAGGAGATGAAGATTCAATATCTCTTATACCACAACCCTTGTCTGTGAACTCTGGACCCGGCAATGAACAATTTATTTCACCATCATTACAGGTAAATTCAATGTATAAAATTTACATTTTTTTATAAAATGTTAATTTATTTTTTTACCAATTTTTCATTAGCTCCAACTGGATATTGTTTCTATGCTACAACCGCATTTATCATCTGATGGTTTAGTTGTTCGCTGTTTGGAGTATGCCATGAAACAAGAGCATATTATGGATTTTACACGATTAAGAGCTTTAGGATCACTGTTTTCTATGATTAATCAAAGCATTAGGTATATCAATTTTTTACTTAAAATATGAATATAAATATTTCACATGAGCATAATATAAAATTAATATTTATTATCAAAAAACTTTTTTTTCAGAAATGTGCTTCAATATAACAGAACTCATTCAGATTTTCCCCTTCCTCATGACCAACTAGAGCAGTACATTCCAAAATGTTTAGTGTATGCTATCTTGTGGAGTTTTGCAGGTGATGCAAAACTTAAAGTACGCTCTGATATAGGTGAATTTATAAGATCAGTGACAACAGTTTCTTTACCTCCAATGACAGAAAATATTATTGATTATGAAGTAAGTGTTAATTTTAAAACTGTAATTATTTTACCTATAACATTTTGTAATACCTAATTGTATACCAAAAAACTAAAAAGTTGTGATTTGGTATCCAAATATAATATAAGCAAAAATTAATGAATATAAATAATAATGGTATAAAATTATTTTTAAATAAAATTTACTTTAAATTGTATGCTATTATTTTTTATTAGATTAATGTCCATGGCGATTGGGTGCCATGGTCTAGTCGTGTTCCACAAGTAGAAGTTGAAACTCATAAAGTGGCCTCTCCCGATGTTGTTGTACCTACATTGGACACAGTTCGACACGAAACATTGTTATATACTTGGCTTGCAGAGCATAAACCTTTAGGTAACCAACAATTTACCTGTTAATTGTTATAACTATTGTTACTGTATTTAAACAATTATTTGAATAAATTTAATGTTAAATAGTATTATGTGGTCCGCCTGGTTCTGGTAAAACTATGACATTGTTTTCGGCTTTAAGAGCTTTACCTGACATGGAAGTTGTAGGATTAAATTTTTCATCTGCGACTACTCCAGAATTACTATTGAAAACTTTTGATCATTATTGTGAATATCGTAAAACACCAAATGGAATTTTCTTGTCTCCTATTCAAGTATAAAATTATTATATTTTCATTTAGTACCAATGATTATTACATTTACTAATCTTATTTAGCTTGGTAAATGGCTTGTATTGTTTTGTGATGAAATTAATTTGCCTGATATGGATAACTATGGCACTCAAAGAGTAATATCATTTTTGCGACAACTAGTAGAGCGACGAGGATTTTATAAGTAAGGATTTTGTATTGTTTACTTTTTATTTATTTAATTAATTAATTTTTAACGTCAACAGACCAACTGGGGATCAAGCGTGGGTATCCTTGGAGAGGATACAATTTGTTGGTGCTTGTAATCCCCCAACAGACCCTGGCAGAAAACCATTGTCTCACAGATTCTTGCGTCATGTTCCAGTAATCTATGTTGATTACCCAGGCGAAACGTCTTTGAAACAAGCGAGTACAATAAATAAAGTGTATTAGTTAGTTTTTTAATATTTGTTTGGTATTTTTAGATTTATGGAACATTCAGCAGAGCAATGTTGCGATTAATTCCTACGCTACGCGGATATGCAGAACCACTCACAAATGCTATGGTCGAATTCTATTTAGCGTCTCAAGAACGCTTTACGCAAGACATGCAACCACATTATGTATATTCTCCCAGAGAAATGACTAGGTGGGTCAGGGGAATATGTGAAGCAATTAGACCATTAGAAACGTTAAGTGTTGATGGTTTGGTACGACTTTGGGCACATGAGGCCTTACGTCTATTCCAAGATCGTTTGGTAGACGATTCTGAACGCCAATGGACCAATGAAAATATAGACATAGTAGGCATGAAACATTTCCCCGGAATCAACAAAGAAGAAGCCTTGCAGCGACCAATACTTTACAGCAATTGGTTGCACAAAGATTACGTACCAGTCGATAGAAAACAACTTCGTGATTATGTGGCTGCCAGGCTAAAGGTATATTTACTATAACTATAATATGAATATTCCATTAAATCTTTCATTGAGGTGTTCATTAAATTTATTGGAATTTATGTGTAGGTGTTCTATGAAGAAGAGTTAGATGTCAAAATAGTACTGTTTGATGAAGTTTTGGATCACGTACTAAGGATAGACAGAATATTTAGACAACCGCAAGGCCATTTGTTATTAATTGGTGTATCTGGAGCTGGAAAAACTACCCTTTCCCGTTTTGTAGCATTTATGAATGGTCTTTCAGTATTCCAAATAAGAGTTAGTGTATAATTGTTTTATTGTTATTATGGCTTGACATATAGGTCACAGAAAGCCTGTGTACAAATTAGGCAATTTTTAATTTTTTTTGATTTATACATCTTAATAATTTAAATAATAACATTTATTTGTTTGAGATAATTTATTAACTTGTTTTAATTTTCTTTCGTGAAGTAATAATTTGTATTATACACATTAAAAAAAAAGATAAAGATTATGGTTTTAATTGTTATGTTTTATTAAATCACTGGATTATTATCTAATGAGTTTTTCATTACATATTTTTTGTTTGAAGTTTTACATTTTCCAATAATTATTTTTACAGGTTCATAATAAATATACAAGTGAAGATTTTGATGAGGATTTAAGAGCAGTGTTAAGAAGATCTGGCTGTAAAAACGAAAAAATAACATTTATACTCGATGAATCAAATGTATTAGAATCTGGATTCCTTGAGCGTATGAATACTTTGTTGGCTAATGGAGAAGTTCCTGGTTTATTTGAAGGTATTTAAAAATTATTATTAGAGTTTTTAGATTCTTTTATATTAACATTTCATTATAAATATTTAGGAGACGAGTTTACTACTTTGATGACACAATGTAAAGAAGGAAGTCAAAGAGAAGGTTTGATGTTAGATTCTAATGAAGAATTATATAAATGGTTCACTGGGCAAGTAATGAGAAATTTACATGTTGTATTCACAATGAATCCCAGTTCAGAAGGATTGAAAGACAGAGCTGCTACATCTCCAGCACTTTTTAACAGATGTGTACTTAATTGGTTTGGAGACTGGTCTGACACAGCACTTTTCCAAGTACTATTATACATTTTATGATTGATGATAACATATAAAGACCAGACGTCTAAGCTATGTATTTTATCTTATTTTACTATTTTAATAGGTTGGTCAAGAATTTACTCGAGCCGTTGATTTAGATGGGCCACCTATGTGGAAAGCTCCCGATTTTTTCCCATCAGCATGTTCCTTAGTACCTAGTATTCCTGATTATCGTAGTGCGGTTGTGAATGCTTTTGTTTATGTTCATCAAACCCTACATAAAGCCAATAGCCGCTTAGTGAAAAGAGGTTCAAGAACTATGGCAATTACACCAAGGCATTACTTGGATTTTATAAATCACTTTGTCAAGTTGCATAAAGAAAAGCGAGCAGAACTTGAAGAGCAGCAACTTCATTTGAATGTGGGTTTGTCAAAAATTGCTGAAACTGTGGAGCAAGTAGAAGAGATGCAAAAATCATTGGCAGTCAAGTCAATCGAGCTAAATGCTAAGAACGAAGCAGCCAATGCAAAATTGCAACAGATGTTTAAAGAACAACATGAAGCTGAAAAACGAAAAGTACAATCTCAAGAAATACAAGAGCAGATAAAAGCACAGCAAGTGTTAATAGCAGAAAAGCGAAAAGATGTCATGGCCGATCTCGCACATGTCGAACCTGCTGTTTTAGATGCTCAGCAAGGTAATTGCTTATTGTTTACTAGAAATTCATTGATGTCCCCAAACGCAACTATATAATAGATTCTATACACTAGTCACGGTAAAAAATTTGGTTGCTGGCTGTTTTTTACTCTGTGCTCAGGCAACCATCTGTAGAAAGAAATAGTTATCTCCCTGAAACCATCCTACTGAAAATTCCTTTACTGGTAAAATGAGTCTAGTTTTTTACCAAATAGAGTTGTTAAACCCACCTGGCAATTGATAAATTAGAACAAATTCTTGAAGTATAAAAAAAAAAAAATAAAGTAAATATAATTTTTTTTTAGCTGTCAAGGAAATTAAGAAACAGCAGTTAGTGGAAGTACGGTCTATGGCTAATCCTCCTGCAGTTGTGAAATTAGCTTTAGAGTCCATATGTTTACTGCTTGGGGAAAATGCATCGGATTGGAAATCAATCAGAGCAGTTGTTATGAGAGAAAACTTTATAAATTCAATTGTTACCAATTTCAGCACGGAAAACATTTCGTAAGAAAAACAATTATATTTTAATTAACATTGGTTAACTAACATTTGTAATACATCTTAATTTGTTTTTTGTAGTGATGACGTACGTAAGAAAATGCATATCAATTATTTAAATAATCCAGACTACACATTTGAAAAAGTTAATAGAGCTAGTATGGCTTGTGGTCCTATGGTTAAGTGGGCAATAGCACAGGTATAGTTTTTATTATTATTAGTTAAGAATTATAAGTGATTAAAAACTATAAAAAGTAATGGTTTTGTTGTAGAGTTGTGTTGATTTTTAAATATTTTTAACAGGTCAGCTATGCAGATGTATTAAAGAGAGTAGAGCCATTACGCGATGAGCTAAAATCACTTGAAACCCAAGCGTCAGACAATAAAGTTAAAAATGAGGAAACAACTGCACTTATTTCTCAACTGGAACAGACTATCACAGAGTACCAAGAAGAATATGCTCAGCTCATTTCTCAAGCTCAAGCAATCAAGTCCGATTTGGAGAATGTCCAAAGCAAAGTATACATATAATATTATAAAATGCATATTATGAATATGAATTGATTGAACTAATTTGTTTGTGAAAATTATTTCTCAGGTTGACCGATCTATTGCTTTATTAAAATCTTTGGTTATCGAAAGAGAGAGGTGGGAAAGTACAAGAGATACATTTAGATCCCAGATGGCCACAATTATTGGCGATGTTCTGTTATCTTCAGCATATTTGGCTTACGCTGGATACTTTGATCAACACGTGAGTTGTTATTTTTATGTTTTTTAAAAAAGATTATAAACATTTATTGTTATACATTTTTTTTTTTTTTTTAGTATCGTCAAAACTTATTCACTACATGGTGTCAACACCTTTACTTAGCAGGAATCCAATATAGATCTGATATTGCACTAACCGAATATTTGTCTAATCCAGATGAAAGGCTCCGATGGCATGCTAATTCATTACCTACTGATGATTTATGTACAGAGAACGCAATCATGTTAAAGGTTACTATATAATACTAAATAACCCTTAATTGTGTGTGTTCTATTTTGAAACTTAAATTTGGTTATTTTTATTTGTTCAGAGGTACAACAGATATCCATTAATAATTGATCCGTCAGGTCAAGCAACCGAATTTATATTAAAAGAATATGCAGATGCAAAGATAACAAAAACTAGTTTCCTTGACGATTCCTTCAGAAAGAATCTCGAATCCGCTTTACGTTTTGGAAATCCCCTTCTAGTACAGGTAAGTTATTAAATAATACATTTCATCAATGATTTTTTGTTTGCAATGCCATTCGATGTTTTATATTATATTTGATTTAATTTATAGGATGTTGAAAATTATGATCCGATTTTAAATCCTGTATTGAATCGAGAATTACGTCGCACCGGTGGTCGTGTATTAATTACTCTGGGTGATCAAGACATAGATTTGTCACCCAAATTTGTTATATTCCTGTCTACACGTGATCCAACTGTAGAATTTTCGCCGGACATTTGTTCAAGAGTTATGTTTGTTAATTTCACAGTTACCAGATCATCATTACAGAGTCAATGTTTAGATCGCGTTTTGAAAGCTGAACGTCCTGACATTGATACCAAACGGTCTGACCTTCTTAAACTTCAAGGTTTGTTGTCTTAAACATTAGTAAACACGTGTACAATAATGTATTAATGAAAATAATTTTAGGTGAATTCCATTTGAGATTGAGACAACTAGAAAAATCACTATTACAAGCATTGAACGAAGCTAAGGGTAAAATTTTGGATAATGATTCTGTAATAACGACATTGGAAAGACTTAAACAAGAAGCAGCCGATATAAGCAAAAAAGTAGAAGAAACTGATAAAGTTATTGCTGAAATTGAAACTGTTTCTCAGCAGTATAAACCATTGGCTCAAGCTTGTAGCAACATGTATTTCACTATGGATAGTTTGAATCAAGTTCATTTCCTTTATCAGTATTCGTTGAAATTCTTTTTGGAAATATTTAGTTCTGTACTTTTGTCCAATCCAAGATTAACATCTGTTACCGATCATACATCGCGATTAGATATTGTCACAAAAGACCTATTTTCAGTAAGATATTTTTTTACCTCTAATTTAATCTGTACAAGCTATTATTAATAATTGAATGATTTTATAGGTGTGTTACGAGAGAGTAGCTCGGGGCATGTTACATAATGATCGGTTAACATTTGCAATACTTTTGTGTCGAATAAGTTTGAAGGGTACTTCTATTGGTAACACGTTAGACTCTGAATTCCAATTTTTCCTTCGTGGCAAAGAAGGAGTTTTGAGTTCTAACAATTCGTCAGGGCAAGGTTCGCTGAGTAGCTTAAACCAAGATCAGATCGAAGCTATGGTAAGGTTGTCACATAGAATTCCAGCATTTAAACATCTACAAGAACGTGTCGAAGAAATGCCTGAATTTGGACCTTGGCTAGCACAAAACACACCAGAACAATGCGTACCTAAACTTTGGGACGAACAAACTCCGTTTAGTCCTGTAGCGACAGCAATGTACCAACTTCTTGCTATTCAAGTAAATCTTACTATACATGAAGATCATAAAAGTTACCAAAATGTTATTAATAACTCGGGAATTTATTTTTATTACAGGCATTTAGACCAGATAGAGTCGTGGCTTCAGCATATCTATTCGTCGAAGCGACATTTGGAGCTTATTTACTTTCCTCAGCTGAACGTGAACCGGATTTGTCAACAATAGTTTTGAACGAATTAGATTGTAGTGTACCAGCATTATTGTGTTCAGTCTCGGGATATGATGCTTCTGGTCGTGTGGATGACCTCGCTGCTCAAAATAGTCAGCCGTTGTCATCCGTAGCCATTGGATCGGCTGAAGGATTCCGTCAAGCCACTGACGCTATAAATTCAGCTGTTCGTCTTGGACGGTATTATAAAATTATAAATAATTTATTTTAACCATCAATTTAACATCTAACATGACATTTTAATTTCTTAATATAGATGGGTACTGTTGAAAAATGTACATTTAGCTCCTCAATGGCTAGTACAATTGGAGAAAAAGTTACACAGTCTTCAACCGCATACCAACTTTAGACTGTTCCTAACTATGGAAATCAACCCTGGTGTGCCTGTGAATTTGTTAAGAGCTGGTCGTATATTTGTCTTTGAACCACCCCCCGGTGTGAAAGCCAATTTGATCCGTACATTTAATACTGTAAGTATGCCGGAAATTCATTTGAATTATTATATATTTAATAAAACAATTTTCTATATTAGATTCCAGCATCTCGAATGATGAAAGTACCCAACGAAAGAGCCAGACTGTACTTTTTACTTGCATGGTTCCACGCTATTGTACAAGAGCGTTTACGCTACACTCCACTCGGTTGGGCTAAACATTATGAATTCAACGAATCTGATCTTAGAGTAGCTTGTGACACACTAGATACTTGGATAGAAACAACGGCTAAAGTACTTAAAAATACATATACTATTTTTGTTCTAATTGAATTTAAATAAAATAATATGTATAATTTTTAGAACCGCACAAATTTACCTCCTGAAAAAATTCCTTGGGATGCATTGGTCACATTGTTGTCCCAGTGTATTTATGGTGGTAAAATTGATAACGACTACGATCAAAGACTGCTAGCGTCATTTTTAGGTAAATTGTTCACCCCTCGCAGTTTTGAAACTGGTTTTGCATTGGTCGCTAATGTGGATGGTGTTGGTGGAGACGATAATAGGTAATTAAATAGAAAGTATATAAATAAATGTTTTATTTTAACATGAAAATTTGAATTTATGTATTTGCTATAATTATTATTTTTAATAAAAACACAAATATTATTTAGACAAATAACAATGCCTAATGGATCGAGAAGAGACCATTTTTTGCATTGGATTGAAAACTTATCAGACAGACAATCACCATCATGGTTAGGATTGCCGAACAATGCTGAAAAAGTACTCCTGACTACTAGAGGTATGTGTCAGCAACACATTTAAAAAGCATATAAGATAAAAAAAAATAACAATATGTATTTATATAGGTACTGACTTGGTAAGTAAATTGTTGAAAATGCAGCAGCTTGAAGATGAAGACGAACTCGCTTATGTTACTGATCAAGTAAATAAGGATGGTGGACCTGAGTCCAGCATTGGTTTGCCAACACCAGATGGAAGGCCGGCTTGGATGAGGACATTGAACAATTCGGCCACTACATGGCTTCAATTATTGCCCCAATCACTACAGACATTGAAACGTACAGTAGAAAATATTAAAGATCCCTTGTACCGTTACTTTGAACGAGAAGTGAACTTTGGTTCAAAGTTATTGCAGGAAGTCATACACGACTTGAACGAAGTAGCCGCTATATGCCAAGTAAATTCCAATTAATAATTGTTTAGTTGGTTCTAGTTTTTTTATTGAATTTTTATTCTTTCAGGGCGACAAGAAACAAACTAATTATCACAGAAGTTTATTGAGTGATTTAGTTAAAGGAAAACTACCGACTGGGTGGCGTCGGTACACAGTACCCAACGGGTGTACAGTTATACAGTGGATATCTGATTTTAGCCAGCGCGTTAAACAATTGCAACAAGTATCGCAACTAGTTTCACAGCGTGGAGCAAGTCAAATAAAAGTAAGTTTTGTTGTTTGTTTATTTAGATTTACATATATGAGTTTGGCAACACAACAACACATCCACATACCAGCGTTATTCATACTTTATTTAATCTATGATAATATTATTAAGGTGTAAGGTCACAGTTCATTTTTTTGCTCAGAAATAGGAAAAAACTGACATCTTGTAGTGTACACTACTTACGTTTATTTATTTTTATTAACTATTCGTTTTTTACAGTCTTTCCCCGTTTGGCTTGGTGGTCTTTTAAATCCAGAAGCTTACATTACAGCCACTAGACAATGTATTGCTCAGGCAAACTCGTGGTCTTTGGAAGAGTTAATTTTGGACGTTACTATTACGGATACATTTGAGTATGATGCAGATAAACAAGATGAGTGCAGCTTTGGAGTTATTGGTAAATTTAATTAAAACAATTGTTTAGTTTAACTTGTTTTTAACCACGCTTACATGGTTATTAGGTCTTAAGCTACAGGGTGCTCAGTGTCGTAACAACCAATTATTGTTAACTTCGTCGATAATGACAGATCTACCTGTAACACTTCTACGGTGGACACAGTAAGTTTTTTAAATATGTAAAAAAAAAGTTCTGTTTTAATTCAGTTTTATTTTTTAGTGTTTCAACTGAAGAGTGCTTGAGACCCAATAAATTGTCTTTGCCGGTCTATTTGAATTCAACTCGTTCAGAATTGTTATTTACCGTGGAGTTAGATGTAGCGCCTGGTCAAGATCATCATACGTTTTATGAAAGAGGAGTTGCTTTGCTAACGTCTACAGCTTTAAATTAAGTAAAATATACACATACTAATATAATATATAAATTTATTGAATTATATTATAATGCATTGTACTTTAAATATCTTTATCATGTCGTGGTCCCAAAGCACGGTGCCATTTATTTAATATTTATAATATCCTAAACAAATCTTTCAAATAGCTGTGAATGCATATTATTTATTAACTTATTTTATTACTTGTCTAATTTTATGTTCTATCATATTAATAAATCAATTTTTATAATCAACATATTTTTATAATAGATAAAATAATATTTTTAGGCTTAATGTTATAGTTTGAATTTATTGTCGCTCAGTTTGTATTTGGTTATAATTCCTTAAAAAAAAAAAAATAGTAATAATAATGTTGAGATCTGTTGTTATCTCTGAAAAAATTAATTGTAATACAAGTTACTTATTGAAATTTATTTTCATGTATTTTTATGTGCTGTAAAATGTTTTATTTATTGCTATTTTTTTATTGTACATATATGAAATGTTAAAAGCTTACTATTAAAAGAATTTTAATAAAAATCCTACTTTTCTTAATTATTTATTCGATAAAATAATTCAACTTAATTGAATTTTCAACGTGTTAATAACTAATGTATTATTTCAATTAGAATTAAGAAAATTTATTCAGACTTTAAAACTTACAGTTTTTACCCTTATAAAATGTTTATTTTAGTGACAAAAAGAAAAATTAAATGCAAATTTCACGCTTATTCTTTAATGTCTCATACCATATTAAAGTTATTGTTTAAATATTATGCATTATATACAATTTGATCAACATTTAAACAACAATCTTTAATATCATTAATTTAGTTTATTATACAACTTTATAAACACTTGTGAATTGGTCAAATTATGAGTTCATATTTTTGCTATTCTATAAGCGTTGAAAGACGTGACGTCTGCTAATTGCTCGAGTTCAGAGTTGAATTTCTTTGGCGTCCCAAACATGAAAACTGCTATTTGGTCTCCGTAACTAACTTCGACGAGTGTTGTAGCCGATCCTCCTCCGTTTGCTGTCGCTAAAATGGGCAGCCATTGTTTACCGTTGGTCAATCTTTTTTGTAACACCAACCTGAAATCAGTATTATGTCCATTAACAAATATTCTAATGTGAGTGTTTTTGTTATTACACTATATTATTATAGTCGTGCGTTACCTGGCGTTACGGTCGGTCGCTCCGGAAAACGAAAACTGGTATACACCTGAACAAGCCACGGTAAATACACCCAGTTCTCTATCCCAAGTGGACGCCAAATTAACCACACCGTTTTTGTAGGCCACGATACCAGAAGAATGGACCGGACCGCTTCCTGTAGCTGAGAAAGCTAAGACTCCATTACAATCGGCTGCCAACTGTTTCGGTGAGTTTCGCGATGGAGGTAACGGTACAACGGCGACCGATACTGACCAGAATAAAACAGCCGACACCAAAAGCAATCGTAAAGCGCACATTGTGTGAAACAAATCAAGGTTTTTGGCTACTAATAATATGCATTCGTTCTCACAGATCACACGTTTGTTGTAGTGCAGACCTTGTCAAGGACGCCGTATTGGACACACTAATAAATGCTAAACAACACCATATATTATACAGACTCGGAGAGTGAGTGTTTTTGCTTTGCTCATTAGAATACTTTAATGAAGTACACTATATTTAGTTATTATGACCCGGCTCATTGCATATGACCCGGCGCGTACGATAAAAACAAATTAAATAAATAATTAAATCACAATTGGAGTTTTGTGTAAACGCTAAACACGTTTATAAATCCCAAACAAACAACATAATAACGCATAAGGTGCTTTGGAGTTATTTATCTGGCGATAACGTGTGACTGTAAAACCTGTACAAGAAAATGAAAGCCAACCTGAGTGTTTTAGAATAGTGCGGTAAAAATTAAACAAAAAAATTAGGTACTAATTTCGGGGCTGGGGAGGAGGATTAAAAGTTATTGGCTGAATGAGTTTAGGAGTAAGTACATATTATTATCATGTATATTCCATTTTTGTAAAAAAACAAGCATAAAATATTGTTGCGGCTTAATCAGTGTAATTTTTTTTTTGTATTGTTATCGACAAAGCTTAGAACATTAATATTGTCATAGGGCAATGCACGAATATAATTAATTTTTATAGTTAATTTGACGTCATTAACAACAAGGCGAATAAGATCATACCAATGACTATACGAAACAGGTACGGAAAATGGAATTTTATATTTAATTTCACGGTCATCACATTTTACTTGTTTTTATTATTCTTGTTTTTAACACCGTCCGGTTTATATTTCTATATTATACTTTATAATTAATAATGACTTATGTTTAGTGTCAGACAACAATAGCCCTATAATAATAACTAGAATATAATAATAAGTACAGTCTACAATTATTACTTTTTTTTCAAATTTAATAAAAACTTATTTATGATAACCGTAGTAAAGTTGTAGAAGACAACGAAACTATTTAAAGTTTAGTCAGGTGAGGTTAGATTTAATAATTAAAGATCGACTCTTTTGACATAAACAATTATTTTCAGTTTATAATTTATAAACTGATATGGGACGTTAAATGTTACTATTTTTAAATGGTTATAAATTATAATATTGCTCAACCGGTATTCTTCCCGAAAATTGCACAATTGAAAAGTTTAAATAAATGCTTCATTTTAATTTTATTAGATGAACTTTACACTCGATTTTCTTAGAAAAATGTTTTACACGGATAAAAAAAAATGGTGTGTTCTCCACTTTTTTTAAAGATCCTGTTTTATGTACTTATCTTATTTTAAAGCCACTCCTATGCATACAAGACAGTTGGATGGATGTCCGTTTTGAGAATACAGGGTAAGGCAATGGTTTCCGAAAGGATTATTTAATCTTAAAACCATTATTTGTATACAGAACTGATAAACTATTCTGTCCTGTTATATACCTACAGCTAATGTGCTCAGATTCTTGAAGCGAAAAGTAGGTGACTTACCAAGTAAGTTACAATACAGATTATTTATAAATGAAATGGTAAACATTTTGAATTTCTATCACTGGCGTACATCAAGGGAGGTTATGCATAGAATATAAACGCCTTAAGTTTAAGTTCGTTTTGTTAAATTGTTCACATTCAACAAATGTCTCGCTAAAAAGTAAAAACATTAAAATTTGAACCCAGACTTCAAATTGTTGGGTTTTGAGTGTATACTGACTTTCTTCTTTAATTTACGCCAATGATTAAAAAAATAAAATAATAAATTTGTATGGTTAAAATAATATACATTGATGATTTTCTTATCATAGAATATAAAGTCAATTTTAATATTAATGTTATTTAATTTAACGGGGTAATTTTGTTTTTGTTTAGTGATTTAGTTCTTAATCATAGGTCGTCCTTGCGGACTTGTGAGCTCAGAGCTGTGATAAATGTGAGTATGCCCGTTTGTTTGGATATCTGAATATTTTTTTATTAATTTAATATTTTACTATTAATGTACGGTACATAGTGAAAGTATCAGTAGTATTAATAGATTCTATTAATACTAAACGACTATCGAATGGGTAAAAAAAAATGAATGTTATTATGAGCGGGCGCTTGTGCTACAATGTAATTAACGCGACCGTGTGAAAATCCGATATAATTTCGAAATTCCTAAGTAGTTTTTTTTTTGCTAACAATAAAAACAATCTTATCGGGTACCTACTGCGACCACACGAAGCATATTACAATATTCCCGCATGTATCATATTTACCCCTTGCCCATCGCCGGACAAGCATTGCAAAATATGAGTAGCATAGTAGACAATGTATTTATGTACCTACAAGATATTATTTATACAAGACGACCTTCCCACAAAAGCGCACAATCTTCATACTTCTGGTTAATAGTTGTGCAACTACTATTATATTGAATGGGTGCATCATAAATCATAATATATGAAGACTGTATTTATACCAATGTCAAAATTAAGAAAAACATAAGCTGTCGGATTGATTTTTGAATTTTTCTCGTCTTTTTGTTTTTTACCTAACACATTTAAAGTATGGTTTGAGCGAAAATTTGTATAATAACTAGAAGCATATTCGAATTTTTATATTGAAGGTAGGAAAATGATCAAAATCTCTTGCCACGAACAACTGAAAAAATGTAATTTTTTACCTTTGGCCGCTTGCAAATTAAATTTCCTTTGAAGTCAAGTATGTTGTTGAAAATCGATAGAGTGTAATAATCTCAGCATGCAATTTTGGCATGCCTAGTGTGTACATTTTAATTGGTTAAGCGAATGATTTGGTAATTCATCATGTACACGTTTATCAAATTATACTTTCAAGGCCAAGCACAGTCTCACGCACTATTTTTCTACCTCAAAATAAGAACCCATAGGATCTTATGTAGAACAGTTTGCTTCTTTCACGATTTGTGGTATTAAAACGAATCATAACTTTATTATATAATTGTGCATATCTTTGCTGTATGTATTGTACGTGTTGTAGTAAGAAAATTCATGGGATTTGGAGGTCACCTTAACGCCCAAGCAGATTCACGCTTTGGAATTAAAAAGTACATTGTGAAATAAATCTTTCAAACAATTGGCTATTATTTTACCTTGTCTAGGTATACACACAAAAAAATAAAGTTTCTACTATAATAATGCGTAGTTAACAATACACTCAACAATTATATGTTCTTCTACTTAACCTGAAGGAGTGCAGTTATTTCAGGTACCGTCAAAATTAATTTGCTATTCGTTTACAATTATCAATGATTTTATCAAATACTTAATTGATTATAGATCCACACTGTTCAGATCTACACATTTAATATGTTAAATGTTGTGCGTTTTTGTCTATTTACTTCTACTATGTCAATAATTAACTCGGTTGTCTTTTATATGTGTAATCATATTTTTTAAATCAAATTAAAACGAAACAATAGTAATTACATTTTTACTACGGATACCCTTGGATGGTATGTATTGGGGCCAAGTGACAATATTTACACTGAAACTTGTAAATAATCATTTGCATTAATGTTTAACAATTATAATATTAAAACAAATTACTGGCAAGATGTAATAGTGATGAGTTGGGCGAGTCAGTGGTCGTAATTTTTAATTGTAGCGACGATATGTGTACATAAAATTATATTTTTAACTTAAACCTATTAGGTATTTTCAACACTCGAGAGAAACCATCAAGTTTTTGTATCCAGTAAAAAACACTCTTTAAGCATCTCGTTTAACCTACGTTTAACTCTACAACAAATAACAAATACCTACTAATAACAGCAATTGTAGCCCGAAGGGCTCTCAATTTTATGATTTTCTCAATTGGCTCGTTTTAAACTTTTAATTTTCATTAAGAACTTACTGCAATAACAGTAATGGAAATTCAAACATACGTTCACTCTTTTCTTACAAGCGTCTGAATTGTATTTGACGACGTTTGCTGCTTGAGTAAATATAGAGTAAACTTGGCATTTAATTCAGTTTCTTACTTTTTTTTTCTGTGGTAAAGTAAACAACGAAAATACAACAAATTTACACCTTTTTTTTGCGTCAATCGTGGATGTTCTAAAAAAAAAATAGTGAAATTGAAAACAAAGTGCACGTGACATGAATCTGGACCCCTAGAATGTCTAGTACGGGTAAAGTGGCAGCTAAAAAGTAATTTAACTTATTAGTTATTACATTAGTCTAGATACATTAGCGGGGAATTTAATTTCGCGATTAAGTTTTATACTAATTTAGCCAAACAGAAATACAAATTAAAATATTAAAATTATTTATTTATTTTCATTACAAGCGCTTATACTAATTCTAAGTATTTTGCATAACCGCAATTTATGTTAAATATCTTAGCCGTTTCCTTCATAAATAAATAATAAATAAAATTATAATTACAAAATTTTTTAAAACAGTTAAAACATTTATTAACTTGTGTTTCTATCTGAATAACGACGATAGGCAGACCGCAGATGTTATGTTCAGGGTATATCTTAGTTCCAATGATGTTCCGGGATGGCCTAGAAAATACTAATTTAGAATGGTCTGTCGTCAAATCATACAATTTACATTATCAAGCAATGCTTAAATAACATATTTTATTATATAGAAAAAAAAATGTTATAATATACAATATAGCTATTATTATGTGTATTGAAATTTGAAGCTTTTTATACCAGTTTTTTGATAAGTTATAATTCTTTATTTATATACATGTATCGTACAGCAAAATCATATTATAATTTAAAAAAAAAAATTGGAAAACGCTTATTTAAAATATATTAAAATAAATATTTTTCTATTTGACAATATGAGTGCGTAAATAGTATTTGGTTTTGTTGGGTACCTAAATCGTGGCCCGTTCAGAACATATTATTATCGTTCAAGCTTAAATTAATATTTGATTTTTCGTCCCAATGAAGACCCTGTTTTTGGACGCACCGATAATATATTGTTGGGGTCAAATTCGATCTAGAGTGCTTCGAGGGTGAGTTAATGTAATGGAATACTTGGTTTAAAAGCTAAATCGTGTGTGACGCATCCGAAGCCACTGCAAGGCCTATTCCCTGATATGTGTACTGTGTAGGTACTATTTCTTTAGATGAATTCAAAAATATTATGACGTGTTAAATATAATACAAAAATAGTGCACCGAGCGAGAAATTGTTTGAAAAGCGCAGCGTTGAAATCCTAAAATGTTTGAAATAGTATTTATAATTATGTTATCGATATGAGCAGAGATCAGAGTTATCCATTGGTCATATATCCATTTACCAAATAAGATTTACTAATAAGAATTTGTTTACTTGAACTTGTTTACAAAACTCGATTTCTGCACAAAACTATCAATTTATAAAAAACATATTAATGGTTAATCTTCTATGTTAAACATTTTTTTCCCAACTTGTTTTTTAAATACATTATTTATTGGAACTATTGGGTTATTGCACCTCATCGATTTGGGCCTAGTTTGGTATTTGCATCAATACCCGATACAAACAGTTAGCAATATCATGTTGACCCTATAGTAAAGTAAACGTTACATCAGCTTTTCAATTAAAAAATGTTATCTCGTTTGACATGGACAACATATTATCGTATAATATTCGTGTTCACACTATTATGTCATATTCTATACTTTCTCTGGTCATAAGAATCGCATTGATATCATGATGTTTTATGACACTTTCCAATTATAAAGATAAATACTATTTATCGTTTAACTTATGTATTTTATACCAACACGTAGATTGTGTTGCAGTTTTAAAATATGTTTTCTTACAAACGTACATTTTAATTGTAGCTGGACTTGATAGACATTAATAAATATTATTATTCACACCTCATATTTTAGCTTCGACGGAGGGCTTATAAACTCGACTTCAATTTATATTTTTTTTGAGAGAGGAGAAGCGTTAAAGCGTTGCATATACAATACATCCTTATTCCTTATTAATACAAAGTTTATGTGAAATTTGGTATTTTGGAGTTACACCCATTGCTACATAGGCTGACGATATGTGTTTCTGTAATTTTCTGGACGGATAGTTTAATTAACGCTTTGGATTCATCGAAAAGTCGCGTATTGCATAATATGGACGTAGTGTTGATAATATTTAAATAAATTAAATTTATATATTAGAATATTGGGTGTTTTTTTAATTTTTTTGGCGATGTCGCAAAATCATAATGTTGGTGTATATTGATCAATGGATGGCTCGAAATCGGGCTTAACATTTATAATATAGCGTTAGCTGTGTGTAATCACTAAACGTGCACTGATTTGATTATTAAGAGCTATAAAATATATTATAATATCAAACGTAAACGTGTAGAGGTGCACTTCCCAAACGGTTTATTTGCATGTTGTCCTCAGTGAATTCGTGCACGCGTTCTCCTATGCCTATTCCGACAAACATTATTGTAATTTAAATTGAGTTTGCTCGGATAATAAACTGCTATAATATACACATATTATGGTCGGTACCTAAGTACCTACCTGGTAAACCTAAAAATAATTAGTAAAATGACCCACTGACGGCGATGCGCTTTCTCGCGGCCGATAAGTGTAAGTGCTGTGGACTTATAACGGGGAAGGGGCAAGGCCAGCTTAGGAGGAGCACCCCAAACGCATGCGATCGCGTCCTCAGTATTATCCACAGCTTACAGGCGTGTGTTCGCGTTCACCGGTTAGTTAAGTGTTTTTACTTTTTTTTTTTTAACATTTTAATTACCAAAAGGATTTCTACATTGTTAAGCCCTCGACGATCATCTTTGTACGGCAACGGTTTCTCTGCGACATCAAAATTGGATGTATTATACTATATTATTACAGTCAATGTAAGCTTTCCGTTTTACCATCAAAATAACATATTATAGAGATAAAATAATTCTTGTCCCGTCCATATCGTCTATACTATAGACTCTATAGGAACAATTTTAAGTGTCTAAATAAATGTTGTTTTTGTTGCTTTTCGGATTTTTAAAGCTCATCAAGTATTTACTCTAGGGATGAAAACCAGCGCTCTGTAGGTATAGGCGAGTACACGTTATTTTTCCCTTTCTATTGGAAAACCTAAAAAACACCGAAACATGGAATTTAAGTTTTCGAATTAAATATTACGAGCTGTGAAGATGACTGATTTTGCATTTAAAATATTTAATCGCGGTTACTTCAGCCATAATTTGAAACACAATAATATGTATAATCGTTGCAGCCATTGCTTCAGCTCGGCAAAAAGTAAATTAACTGCTGTTTTGCCTTCAATAATGATGTTCGTCCTTTTATTATAAAAACACGAATGATCTCTAAAAAGCTTCGACTCTTTGGATATTCGAACACACACCTTTATCTTGTCTAAAGTTTTAAATATTTATAACGTGCAGTACCTAATTATTAATAATACTGTATTGCAACCAGCATTATTGGTACATTATTCTCGTTTTAAAGAGAACCGTGAGGGGATAATAAATATGCCTGTTTTTTTTTAAATTCAGTTATCTTATTGATCAAACTGTCATTTGGTGGTATTGTTTTCTTGATTGCCGCCGATCAGTCTTTTCTACGGTTTAAAATATACTAATATCGTGGTGGATGATTTAATTGTACGGGAAAATTTTAATTGACTCCTATTATCAGATAAATAATTCCAAAACGATCCTTGAATAGCGTTTCACTCAATATAATTATAAGTAAAGGTTATTGTTAATTTCATTTTATTTTTAGATATTCATATAATATATTGCATATATTGTGTGTATAATAAATAATAACAATAATAACTTAATTATTTTATTTTGTTTAATTGGGAAAAGCCAAAATAATTTGTTTTCCTTTAATAATGAGTGTTTGATTTACATACTCCAATGAATACAAAATAACATACATTTTCCTCGTTGCCCTTGGATAAATACATTTTAAAAACGTGTAAAATATTATAAGACCTGTTTTGTTATAAATTGCTTAAAAATTATTTACATTGAAATAGTCATAATATTATTTTTTTTAATTTAAAATTGTGAGATAAACTGTACCCAGTCTAGACTACCAATCGTGGCGTCAGATCTCTCCATTTAAATCTTACATTACATTATTAGGGTTTGCACATAGCTTTTTTTTAAGGTACAAAGTATAGGTAATATTTAAATTCAATTTATTTGCATACATTTTGAGATTTTCAACTTATATTTAGCTTACTCTGTATTAAAAATATAGTATATTTTTGCAAAATCTGAGGGCAATAAAGCCTGTAGGAAGTTCCTCTCTTAAATTCTTCTATTATTTTATTAAAATTTAATTCCTATCACTACGAGGCGTCATCGATATCCGCTAGCCATGCGGGTCTTTATTTGCCAAAAAAAAAAAGGCTAATAAGTAATAACTAAATTCTAGGAGATTAATGAATTGACATAATATACATTCAACTATATAAAATTTAATATATTATGTTATTATACATTTTTAAGGTACATAAGTTGTACAAATGTCGTTTGGCGTTTAATTATAAATAAGTTCTTATCCATTCATTGTGAAACCCATAAATAGTCATTATAATTATTTCATTAACCATTAAATACTATTATCTAAAATTAACATTGTTTTTTTTTTCAATTTATTTTGAGTTTCAAATAATGAATAAATTGAATTAAAATTAAAATACGTAATATTGTTTAAAAAACGAGTCACATTAAAACTATTAAAAACTGAAAAAAAAATGATTCTTTTTGATTTACTATCCGTCACTTAATAGATATTTTACAACTAAATAAAAACAAATTATGATTTACTGCGAAACTTTAACGTTAAAGTGTCGCCACATAATATAACAGCTACAATGTGATACGGCTCTTACTCTCACGTTTCCTAGAACACAATACATAATAATATGATAAATGCTCAAATCAATCAAATTAGGGTTTTCGGTTTTACTCCTTGAATACTTTTTAAGACTTTTGCTTTTAAAAATTACAGATAGCGATGAAATGCAATTGTAGTGGTTAGTCCGAAGTCATAACATGTCCGTTTGCAATTTATGGGCTACGTTCAAGTTCTCTCAAATAGTAAGTACATTTAAATTAAAATAGACGACATATTATGCATTATTAGACAGCAGTAAGGGACAAAAATACAAAGAACTATAATATTATGCACTGTACGTCACACGATAATTGTTTAATTACACGAAAATTTATGACGGACGCCCTTCAACATTATAATATAATGCTCATGTGGGCCGTGGGAAAACTACAAGGTTATTGTAGTTTTGAAATATGTATAATACCTACACATATTACGACGAGAAAATCTTGATGACGATTCACCTAAGTACTTGACAAAATAAGTGATCCGAGCAAAAACGCAGAATAATTTTCAACTATACGAATATTGTGTAATTAAAATGTAAATACGAGTAAAAATGATTTTTTTTCAAGGTAGAATCATTGCGTAGCCTGTTCGATTAAACAGCGTGAGATATTTTGCATTTATAGTCCGTTTTCAATATAGATGTATAAAAATTATAATATATGGCATATTATGTGATGAAACTACCGTGAGAAAAAAATAGGTATAGTCGATAAAAGCAAATCGTACAAACATTTCTTTAAAACCATCGCAAAACAAAATTCCTTTACTTGATATTAATAAATAATAATATATTAAGAAAATGTTGTAAGAAGCCAGAAATTATCAAAAAAAACGTTATTGGATGGTGTTGACTTAAAATGTAGTTAAAAGAATTATTAACCACAGAAAAAAATCCATCGTTTCGTTCAGCATTTTGAGATGTACTTCCATCCTTGTATGTGTTCCATAAACAATAAATAGGATGCTGGAATTAATATATAACATAAATAATATGATTTTAATGGAATACTTTCAAGTTTAAAGGTGTAGAAAAACATAATATGAAATCACTTATTCGGATTTTTCAGTTTATTAACTATAATAAATTCATTGAACATAAAGTTCTATTTTGTATTGAAATATTGAATAATAACTAATAGCAGGTATAATACGAGTAAGTATAGATCATCAATAGCGTTTCTGCCTATCTAATTATTATTAATTTTTCATTTTCAATTTTTGACTGGATTATAAAAAAATGTATTTAGAATGTTTTAGACTTCATGACAACTATAGTGATACAATCCTGATATTATACATTGAACATACACATTAATAGGTATCTTATTCATATTACTGTAGATATAAGTAATCAAAGCTGAAAGACTACGAATCAATGAAGTATGAACTTTCAACGAAAGTCAATTGCAAATACCTTTAATAACTATCGTTTTCTATCCTTATTTAGAAGTAGTATATATACATTCAAGGCTTTGGTAAAGAAAAAAAATTTACAAAGCGTACAATATTCGTTAATCATTTGCACGGTAGGTAGCTAATGTAGTTATCTATGTATTTAAAGTTCAATGCTGTCCAAAAAAAAAATGATATTAATTAAAAATGATACAGTGCTCGTGTGAAAGTGTATAGAAATATAGAATATAATAGGTACCTACTCCGTTTATTATGAGCACTAAAGTTATTATAGGTACATCTTGATAATGAGCAGCTTGTAACCTTATCATAATGATGTGGTACAAATTATAGTAAATATAATACCTACCTATAATGAAGTAATAGGTATCTATTTAGAAGGACTTATTCTTCTTCATTGGCCTGAATATTAAGTTTATTTTCTAACAAATCGTTGCCCCTGACGAGTGAGACATTACATTTTATACTATTAATTGATAATTGATGATTCTATTCCTATATAACATTTAAAAACTAAAAAAAAAAAAAGCCTGGGTTTAAATTGTATAATATATATTATAGTAATAGTTATTTTGATTAGAGTATTGGGTACCCCGTACCTACTTTAAACTGATATACTGTAATTTTAGTTGTTTCAGTGACAAGTGGGTGTGAAGTCAGAACAGGTTGAATTACATTTATACAAACCTAAGGTTTAAAACCTTGCTAAATAATGTATTTAATAATAATATCGATTGTAGTCAATAAACTTAATACTTGTACTATAACAATAATTTACATAGACTTGTAGTATAATAATACTTGACACTTGTCAACAAAATAAATAAATGTTAATGATGAACTTTGAATATTTGGCGCCTCGGGCAAAAAATACAAGAGCTCTACGGATTATACTTAGATCACAATTCACAGATTATAAAATAATAATCTGTGCTTAGATCTAAAAATATGTAATACTAAAATAGCTGCTATTATATTTAAAAAAAAAAAAAAAAATAGGTGCTAAAACAAAATTAATTAGCTAGTTAAAGTAGCACCTATTATTATTATTTTTATTTAAATATCAGTTGCTTTAAAAATTGCAGCTATTTACTACCTTTATTATCGAACTTCACCTCAAAAAAAGTGTTACCATTTATCTACCGTCATTAATTTATTGTTGATACCTAAATACTTTTATTTTGTTGTTGTAGATTTTATGTTTAAGTTGTCTACTTTACAAACGATGGGCTGATGCGAATGCCAGTAGATTATTTTATTTGCTGGAAAAAACTTCTCGAGAGTGGCCTTTACTGAACAGTATAACAAGAAATGGCGCTGGATCACTATTTGCAGATGTCACGTTTGGTGGCTATGTAATAATATGTATAGCGTTATTTATCGCATACTTGATGGATGAACTTAAGAACAGCAAGAAAACGGTAAACTATAACAAAACGTTTTATACTAAATTTGACTGTTTATGTTAAAAAAAAAAAACTATTATGTTTAGGAAACATTTTTGTTGGCTATTGGTGCAATTTTGTTCATTGCCGTTGGTTGTTTAGTGGTGACTACCATCGACAGCATTCCAGAAAATCTCATTGTTAACGCATTGGTTCTTAGCAGTTTATCCATAATAACCGGTATGGTTTTCATATTGGACATTTGTCTGTCGAGTAAACAAGACTCAGATAAGAAATCGAAACTGCCCAAAAACACCCGTTATGGCGATATTGCACGTACCATGAACTCAGCCGACGTGGTCGATTCTGTACGTGTGAACGGCACTTCCAATGGACATACAAATGGCATTATGAAAAAGGAAACCGTGGAAAAAAAACAAAACGGTCTGTTGCAAACGGCTATTGACGGTGTTGAAACCAAAAGTGAGGCTGTACAAACAATGACCGAAGAAGACGCTAGATCACAGTATGGCAGAAAGTATTTGGGTAACAGAGGATTTAGCAAACACACGGATTGGTACGATACGGGTATGGATCTACCTAAAATGAAAAAACTTGAAATCAACGTACCGGAGGACTCAATTGAACACCGGCATAGGTTATAGTAAAAATTATATTTAAATATAACAATGATAGTGTCGACTAATTAGGATTACTTGTTTTTTTTTTCAGGTTTGTACATGTCAAAAATGGTAGCAAACTTCAATCTCCCAGCATTACTAGTACAGTACACCAACAGGAAAGCCCAAAAGAAGAAAATGAACACGAAGTGCAAAATGCCAGTGTACCGTATACTGTATCAGAAAAAAAGAAACCGATAAGGCCAACAGATTTACCGTTAAAGTCTCCAGTAGAACGAATAAATGATTCACTTCAAAAATCTGTTAAAAGTCGCTTTTACTTTGGTTCAAATATGGAGGAACCTAAATCTCCAAATGATCCTGGTTATGTTCTTCACACGGCGTCTCGTTGGGAGGAACCAATTTCACCACAAAACGGATTAAAACATTTCAAGAGAAGTCAAGTTTAAACAATATAATTGATAATTTATTTTTACACAAAACAAAACAAACAATTTATACAGACTAGATATTTATTAACGTTTCATCCTTTTATCTTTAAAAATGTTTTTTCTACACCTTCTGAATTTAGATTAGCCTCTTCTTCTTCAATGTGTTGTTTAATATCAAATGTGTCCTTTTGGTACTCTTTTTTATTCAATATTTCTAAGCCTTTCACTCGTACAACAGTAGCTTGTTCAACTCCTAACATCCGGGCATAACGAAATCCTAAAAATAAAAGTAATGTAATATATAAAAGTTTTATTAAATTATATAGTATTATTTTACATGTAAATGTTATGTATTTACCAGGAGAAAGTTTTTGTTCGTCTTCTGGAACTAATCCTTCAGCGTCTAACCATTCTAGTTTTCCTTGTCCTATTTGATAAAACACAGTACCAAGTGCTAATGCACTAAAAAAAAAGTATCCTTTAGCGAAAAAAAGTCTTTTTGCTTCTGCTTCTTGAACAGTCATTGGTTTCATAATTCGTCTGAAGAATCTTCTCACAATACTAAAACGTACTGCAAACGACAAACAACAACCCAATTTAGCAAAGTCATAAATACTTTGCAATTCGTCATTTTATTCTTGGGATAATAGTCAATGCAATATGTAGGCTGAATTAAGTATAACTTATTGTTGGTATTTGACTATAGAACATTAATAAATTTAATCATAGGTAATTTTGATAGTGTATATTTTTAAAGAACACTAAATGAAACAAGAATTTATAAAATATATAACATTATGGATATCCTAAAGTATAATCCTATTATATAGAGCGAGCAGTAATTGTATATATTTAACGAAATATATATATTATATTATATATAATACATATATCTTTCAGTTTCAAAGCAGATATAAGGATTTTTTCAAAAATGTTGTTATTATACTGTTTGGGGTGGTAAAAAGATAGATGCATTTAATCAAATTAAATTGCAGACAAACGACTATAAGTAAATTATACCATGCCAATAAAAACTCATCGATTTTTCTATACCGGCTGATAATAATCAACTGCAACACATTCTATACACATAATATTTGATTTAGATAGAAAATTAGAATTATAACAATAATTAGTAGTTCAAAGTTAGAGCAGTTAGGTCTCCTGATATCAAAATACCAAATTAAATTATTTAATAGTTTATTTTAATACTTACTGCCCAACATTTTGATTTATATGACCGGATAATTAATTAAGTTACACGTTACTGTTCTTATAGTTGTTATTATATTCAAAAATCATTATAATAATTAAAACCTAGGTATTTCGTTGTATCCCTGTAATTTCTGTGAATTGTGATTTTAATAAATAATCGACAAAATATAATATTTAAGAAATAGATAAGATACCTACAAAAAAATATGATAAGAATATGTTAATACTTTAGTACTCTTTGGAATTGCATGGACTTTGTAAACAAGTAATAACTATTAGTTTTTGATGCGTCGGAGAGAGTTCGTTGGGCAATCAATGATCTAGAAAAACTTTAAGCGACTTATGGTAACTTATATAAATTATATATATATTCATTTCTTTACTATAAATTAGTGATCATCGATGAAATCCATATTTTATTATTAACAGAATTAAGTTTGATTTTTACTTCTTATAATTACTAAATACAGGTAGGTACCGCTATTATAGAACATGGTACGGATAACTTTTGGTTTAAGCATTCAAGTTAAAATATTAATTGCTATTTGAAGTATAACTCAACATTTGAAATAATCATTAAATTGGTTTGGTTAGCGCGTGTGTTACATTCACACCCCACACATCTAGGAATAAACTTTTCGCATTACTTAAATTCTCCAATTTTCTAGCGTGGGTTAACTACGATAAAATATGCTGACATTGCGTCATTGCGAGTAAACGAATGGTTTAAAAACAGGCGTATGGGATTTGCACCAGAAGCCTCCTCCAGAGATAAATAAACAAGCCATCAAGACGAACCTAACCGCCGGGGCATCTGGACTGTTGGCTTTTACGGTTGCCGAGTCCCTTTATTGTACATAAATATAAGAGTTTTAAAAATCATTTCATGATTATTATTATTATATTTTATAAACATAATACGTGTAAAACTACTAAGCGTACCTACGCTGCACCCGGCAATAATTTAACTGTTTGTTTAATATTAATCATACTTTCTGTTTAAGCTTACCTATTACCAAGGTTATGATTATGTCGAGTAGGATTTAGTTATCTTTGACAAAACCAAAATGACTCGCTGTTTAATTTTACACCAGAGTGTTCTAGTATTTTTCTAGTATAGCCTCTATACTATTACCTCTCAATGAATATGTTATTTTTTAAGGGATTGTTTGGTATTTTCAAACAATGTACTAATAATGCGGAAGTTAATTACTAAATGTTCAAAGAATTCTGTGATATGGTAACAATTACTTAGGTATTTATCAGTATATATTTTATATTGTCAATATATTCGTATTTCCTTCGTACACTAGTAATTTATTATTTGTTTGTTATAATAAGCATTTTGGATTTAAAAAAATAAAAATATTCTAATGTTATTTTTGGAGACGTTTTAAAAATAGTAACTTCTGTGTTATTGTAGGACATTAATATTTATTATTAAGATTATGAAAAAATAATGTTTGTTTTCAACGATGAAGTGATGCCAGAAATATAATGTATTGCAATGTAAGTATGTTTGCAAGCGACGATAGTCGTCAGCCGATTTAAATGAATGTCGTATGATCATAATGTCGAGAAGTTTGCAATAAATTCAAAAGCTAATGTTCCAGTAAGTATCCTATAATAAACTATCATCCTTGTTTTAAAAACTACACGTACAAACAATCTGAAATAAAATAACTAGGGTATTAAAATATATTTATGAATTATGATATAACAACTCAAAATAAAAATCTTTAATCATATTAATTTATTGCGTGACTTGTGGTTGTGTCTTTAACTTTACACTGCTTTTTGGGTTTTGATTCTATTTGAATTTTTTTTTTTTTGCATTGTATCTCCTATTGAGTGTTAACTAGAAAATGAAACAAATTCGGATGTTTATATCGGTCATTGTTTACACACAGGAATCAGTTAAGTCTTCCCACGCTCGACTTGCATGGTCAGCAACAACACAAACCGATCTGCCTGTCGCTATACCAATCCATTTTGGGCAATCTAGCTACCGTTCCAAACTATGTATTGTTATGTTAACGGGCTCCAAACAAATTGTATTATTAAACTCATAAAGTATGTATACTTATTGCATCAGCTATAATTCGTCCGAATTATACTTAATCCGTTAGCTTAATGGACAACATACGTACACGGACTTGACCGCCATACTAATATAAATTTTCTATTTAAAAAATTGTTTTAAATAAAAAATTTCCAAACTTTCAAATGTTTGATGTATTTATTTTGTTTAAGATTAATTTGTTATTTTTTTGTACAATACTATAGGTGTAATAAAAAATTAAACCTTATATATTATAGGTCGTGTCTACCTATATAGTTAATTTTAAACATAACACAAACACTTTTTACAAAATTCTACATGGCCAAATATATATTTTCACGACGTTTATTAAGTGTTAGTTTTATACTTGTCTTGTTAGTCTATAACGTCACTGCAAAACGGCAACTACAATAATTCATTATCAGTTTTAGGTATATTACAACTTCAATTTTTATATTTGCAACTTCAATTGCTAATTTAACCTCAATTCTGTGTTAAATCTATTATGAAATAATTTATGAGTTATCCATCTTTAAAATGTATTAAATTTATGATATAACGTATATGAAGTATCGTGTATAATATGTACATATAGGTTTACCAAGTCCAATTTGTTATATCATTATGCTAAAAAGGTACTATACTGTCCTAAAATAATTTTTGAGTAACGCATTTTTTGTTCAGTTCAACTGAGAAATAAAAGAATTTGTACATTTGTAAAATTACATGTAATTTACATTAATTTTACAGTAATAAATACTGTGTTCTATGTTTATCAACTGTCGCTTGTTTTTTTTTTTTAAATAAGTAGCCCATTGACTTTATAGTCTTCAAATGCGAAAACAACAAAAACTTTAGGTATAACTTCATGTGACTAATAAAAAAAACTGTCACTTGATACAAAAAGAAACAAAATGGTTTTTAATGATCCCGCGGGGTATATCTGAACTACCGATAAATCAAAAACGTCTAGTTAGAAACCCCATATTGAAGGTAAACCGGCAAACCAAGGGGGAGAATCTAGAAATTCGACAGATGGTTTGTCCGTGGATCTTGTTTAGATTCCTGTTGATTCAAACGATAACGACCGCTAAATACTCGCGTATCTCAGCAGTGTATTTCCGCCTACTCTTTGATCGTCCACGATGATTAATAGTAGCAAACACATTTTCTGTGGTTCTATTAAGCAAAAATCAACTTAATAATACTAGAGATCAGTGATCACAAACATATTGTGGCCGTGGTGTTAATTTTATACTGAAAATACAATATACATTCTCAGTTTCGAATCAAACCTTAAATAAACTATCGTGAACTATACACATCATCTGGCTTTAGAAAAATGGTGTAGTAAAGTAAAAAGCGTTCTGCGTTTTACTATATCTGTGGCTTGGAGCAAGAAGGGCCAATGCCACTTTTTGCAACTTTCGGAAAATGAGCTTTGAAGTTTTTATAATCCATTAGGCTCTATGTTAATTTTTTTATTAAACTCTTCATGAGTAATTCATTTTTTGGCCTCAGAGTATGATTTTTTCACAGTATATAAAGAATGATTCAATTTTTGCAATTAGCGGACTAACTCGTTTATGCACAAAATTGACATTGGCCCTTCTTGCTCCAAGCCACAGATATGTATTATGATAAAACAATTTTACATTAACCGGTTAGTATTTAATTATTATTCGCAAGTACAACTATATTGTATATGTACAACACGGGCTTAATAATGTATAACAGCTATTACAATATTTAAATATTTAATGTTGTACTTTTAAGATGTATTATGTCGTGTTATTCGGGTTGTATATTTTATATTTTCTGGCAAGTATTATAAACACATAAATATATATATATATATATTTTTTTATAGTGTTTTTACATTACGCAGTAATGAGTTTAAACCAAGATATTATTATTATATTTTATTTGTGTCTCAGCGCGTTACCGAAATCGTAAAAACACAGTCACGCAAAAAAAAACCCGTATAGTCGTAACACGTGCGCTAAAAAACGCGTGCACAGGTTTAAGTAGAAAAAAATATAAGAAAAGGGTGCCGTTAAGGGGACCCCTTTCTTTTAGCTGTATTACTACTGTTTTGTTCATTAAGTATCCGTGTTGTTTTTAGCACCCGGCCGAACGATCATGATTTTTCACGGCCGTCTTGCATTGCCATTGCACCGGAGAGATGATGGCTGGTGAACTCAATCGTCTACGTCAGTCATATTTCCTGTTGCATACGGAGTGTATTATAGTTTTAGTTTGTAACCGAAAACAAAAGATAATAATAATAGCATATGCACTCGGTGTAAAAATAACATTTTTTTGAAAACTTTTGGAAGTCGACGGCGGATCCGCTTCCCGACGACGAATGACACGTCCGGATACGTTGTTGTTGATGATGATGGGCTTATATCCTCCTTCATTTTTTTTCTGTTAACGTTTTCCGAATCATTATTCAGTCACAAATCCTAATTCTGCCTACTTGTCTCTACTTTGGTTCATTTACATGCATCTACAATTATATGCATGTACGTCGGCTCGTGTCACTCATTTGTAAACATCCAACATGCCTAAGTGCCAAATCTTGTCTCGTTTTCCAGTGACAGTATATTAGAGACGACTAATTTTTAGACCTGCTATTTACGTTGTTCGCAACGCCCAATTGATAGGACAATGATTTAACTATGAAAAATGTTGTTTAGGTAAGATTGTTTAAATTTTCCTTGGTATTGACAATAATTTTTGCTAGTGTTGATTTTTACCAAGTTAGTTTCGTTTAACCCCGTATAGTATGGCCTTCTCGGTGATGTCTCGGAAATAATTTACAGCATATTTTAATATGACATACACGTGTACATTAATATTCAGCGGTCCAAACAAACCTAACGACGACGACGGAACTGTTGTGTACAGTACAGCGGATGTAATCCTCGGACACATCTGGACGGAGGCAACTTGGTATTATAGTGGTGGCGACAGGGCTGCTATTATTTAACAGTTGTTATTATTTTACTGAAATTCGGTACGTACATATTATTATACGAATTCAGCACACACACATTAAATGAACAAAACTGTTTGGTGGTCGGCGATTTGTCATTTTTCTCGAGATTT